TCTCATTTCCTACTACTATGAATCTGTCTGCTCCATCTCTGCCCTCCCATAGAGTCTGTGAAGATGCAGAGCACTGGGTCAGGGCCAGCCCTTCCCAAGTTTCCTGCTCAGGTTACTCCAGCCCACTCCCCTTGTTGGCACTAAGGGGGAGGAGTTTCAACAACTTTCAACTAATCCCTTTACAAGTTCCTTCTAGATGGATTATTGAAACATCTGACTGCAGGGGTATGCCCTCTGGTTTCATTACTCCCTTCAAGTGGGGAGATGCCATATTGATTTAACTTCTTCTTGGGAGGCTGACAAGCTGTGGACTCCGTAAAATGACTGCTATGCCCTGCACAGTTTTCAGTTCATAATTTGGCTTAAACTACTTGATGTTTAATGATCCAGACACTGCTCTGGTTGTGTTTTAACTTGGTCTGTTTCCCCACTGCCCCCCTCCAGCCCGTGAGACCTGGACACAGACAATATGTTTTTTAGGGAGTGAGCTTATGTGCTTTTCCTCTCCTTTGGTCTTGGTTTCTGCCCTCCCCCCCAACACTGGTCCAGGTTCAGGGTCAAGGAGCTCTGCCCTTATTTTCTGCTATGGTAACAGAACTTCAAGTTTCTCCAGGTCTAGTCTAATGTTGGGTCTTCTAGCATTTATATCACCTACATCTCTGGTCAGCTGTTCCTTCATTGCCCCTTTCTGTGCTGTGGAGGGGGTCAGGGGTCACCACCAAGCTCTGCTCTACCTTCTTGAATCCAGAATAGTATTATCTTTAAGGAGAAGGTATGAGGTATCCTTGGGGTGTTAGAACTGTCTTTTTTTTCCCCCTTTTTGCTGTGCTGGGAATCAAACCCAAGGCCTCCTGCATGCTAGTTGAGTGCCATACTACTGAGCTGTACCATTCCTAGTCCACAATGTCTTGATATAGGTGTTGAGTCTCATTGAAATTGCTATATATTTTAAAAATTATTTTTTATGCTTTCTTGGACAAGTCCCTAGGGAAGTATGCTTATAAAATACATACTTAAGACATAAATCATATTTAAAATTTTTCCTTGAATATAAAATACATAGTTTTAATTTTTATTTTATACCATAAAAATCAGCTTATATTTACATTTGCTTGCCTAATGACATGATGTACTAGCATTTACTCTTTGAGGTGTCTATACTTAGGAGAATGCCCTGTGGTCACAATGTTTTCATCTTGTGCTTTCTTTTCTCATCTTCTCAAATGTCAAGAGCAAGCTGTTCTGCTAAGCAGGATAAAACCAGCTTTTTGGTATCTGCAAATGCCACCATTTCCAGGGCTCGACAAACTACACTATAGGGGGGTTTCAATCTATTCCTTTGTACTAGTGTTTTGTTTCTTTCTTCTTCTCTTTTTGTTTTTTTGGTACCTAAGTTGCTTAGGGCCTTGCTAAGTTGCTGAGGCTGGCTTTCAACTAGCCATCCTCCTGCCTCAGCCTCTTGAGCTGCTGGGATTGTAGGTGTGTGCCATTGCATTTGGCAAGTGTTTTCATTTTTATCATGCCAGGGTCATTCCAAAGTAGTACAGAGAGGTTTTTATTATGTATGTATGTATGCACTGGGGATTGAACCCCTATACTTGAGCTATACCTGAGCCTAGAAAGTTCTTTTTTATGCTGAGAACATCCTGAGGTTTTTACCAGGTGATTTCTGGTTTCTTTACTGAGCAATATTCCCTAATTCCACAATAAAGGAAACATAATCACTGTACCTTATCAAAAAGAACAAATTTAATAAGAGCTTATGCAGCATGTTTATCATTTAACCATAATATGATTAACACATGGCAGAAAAGGCCTCTTGGGTTTAAAAATAGCTTTATTTAGCATACTAAAAACACAGAAACATAAGAAAACCCCTACCTAGTATAAACATAAAAATAGTTAAATATCATAATTTAATGTAAACCAAGCATTTAAAAATGTGAAATGTTAGAATAAAATACATGCTATTTACATAGAACCAAGTTAAAGCTACCTCCACAGTTATTGGATCAAATCAGTCTTGAAGAAGTCATCATTAGCAATGTAACAAACACAACATCTCCATTTGCATTGGTCAATAGGCAAAGAATAAATCATTTTATTTCCTTTAAACAAATATGATTTATTGTGACTTTTAGAGTAGGGAAGCAAAAAGTGCCAGTTCCAGGAATCCAGACACAACCACTGCATGTGGAGGTTTGTAAAGCATTCCGCTGGAAGACCATTGAGTCCATTCTTTAATTTCAATACAAACTAGTTGATTCAGCTTAGTTACTGCTTAAGAAAGGTACTAAATACATTCTGCAAAAATAAACCTTTATTAAAAATGATCAAAGGTGAATGCAATATCAATCAGATAAGAAAGGCAAAAGCATAAAAATATATATTATTCCAGACAAGCCCCTTAATTATAATAAATGTTAAGAAACTCAGTTTATAAAACCAGATGGGGTAGCAAAAGGGATTTTAAAAATATAAAACCCAAACCATATTCAAACAAAACAAACCTAAGATAATGTTTCATGAAGAAAGTGGTATCTTGTTTATTCACTCATCATTATGTGAAAGCTGCCATGAGATTTTGTGGCTGATGGAGCTATTACTATGGAGTAGGTTTTCTTTAACCAACATTCTAAAAAGCTGTAGTTATCAGTTTAAAAATTTGGCTTTTGCGTCAAGGATCAACATTCTGTTTTTTTTTTTTTTTGTACTGGGGATTGAACTCAGGGGCACTTGACCACTGAGCCACATCCCCAGCCCTATTTTGTATTTCATTTAGAGACAGGGTCTCACTGAGTTGCTCAGGGCCTTGCCTTTGCTGAGGCTGGTTTAGAACTCACAATCCTCCTGTCTCAGCCTCCTGAGCTACTGAGATTATAGGCATGCATCACTGCACCCGGCCAATATTCATACTTGTACTTCAATTCAGGAGATGGCATTAAAACCAGTATCAGGAGTTTAAAATGTAAAATAACATCTGAAGAATAGATACAAAATATAGACTATTGTGTTTGCCTAATCTTATAGTTCTCAAACTTTTGATCTCTAGATCCCCTCTTTCTACTCTTAACATTTATGGGGATCCGGATGCCAAAGCACTATTACTTAGGAGATTTATGTCTATCAGTATTTACCATATTAAAAAATAAACTGGAAAAAAAACTAAGTATAATTCACTTAAAAATTCATTATGTGCCAACATAAATAAATAATATTTTGATGAAAAATAGCTGTGATTTCTAAAACAGAAAAAAGATGTGTCGGAAAACAGTATTGATTTACATTTTTAAACTCTTTGTTAAGAGAATGAGAGTGAAAAGTCAAATAATCTCTTTATATTATGATGAAAATTAGAAACCAAAGATCACCATGTAGTCATGGCAAAATTTGAAACAATATTATTGTTCCTGAGACCACTATCAAGATATCATCAGTTTTGGTCTATGGAAGCTGGGGCATCTATTAACTACACTCACATGTTTTATTTTCCTTTCCATTTCTAAACCTTGTTTGATTGAGTTGGCAATCATTTTTAAGTTGGCACAGCTTTGGTATAGACTAGAGTATAGCAAGGGTTAGGCAATAGCTCACATACTCAGACTGGGAAGATGTTAGGCATTTAAGGAGATGCCTGTTCTATTTCTCACTATGTGAAAGCTCTGATCAATTTTTGGGAAACAGAGGGAGAAAATTCTCCCTGAAGCACAATAATAATACCAGAATCTCATACTTGGATGGCTCTCCATGTTGGAGAAATTATAATATGCACAATCTCAGTTGATGCTTTTTTTTTTTCCTTTCTGAGCCTGTTCCTTCTGCTTCAAGGAAAAAATAAAAACCCTGCATTTAAAAAAATCGAATGAAAATACAAAATGAAATGGCAACAATAATGAGATGTGTGTGGGACTGTAACTAGATTTAGTGTGCACCTGCCACAACATGTATCTTGTAGTCTTTTTTCACCAACTGAAGGGCAATGTAAAAACCACAGTTTAATTTAATGGCAAGTGGTCTTGTAATCATCTTGAGGCAAAGACTTCAGACTGTACAAAAACATTAAGAATTGAAGAATTTTTATTTTAATTGAACTCATGGGTGCGTGAAGATTTTGTGGTGGTAGGAGAGAGTGAGTTAATAGTACAGTATAAGGCAACAAAATTGCAAGAAGAAAATAATTACTGCCTCCCCCCAGGAACAAGGACTAATTGGTATCTATTGCCTGTTATTAATACATTTATCCTCCTTAGAAATTATTCCATTGCCAGGAAATCCTCCCCACCAAGATATTAATAAAAATAGCATGAGACATTCAAAGATGCTAGACAAAACATTTAAAGGCAGGGGTGGGTGGTGGGTGGTAGTCAACCAAGAAGAAAATCTCTAGTATAAAATGAGCCAGATACCACTAAGGAGCAAAGATTTTGTTGCTAAAACTCTTTAAGTACTGCATGTACATGCTCTCTTTATCTTTTTCTGAGATGTTTCTAAAATGGAGAATGACTCCATACTTTTTTTTGCTCTTTTAAGGTAGATGAAGAAATAGGTTAACAAAAACCCGTAAGAATTAGGAAACATGCTAAGTACATCCTTTTTGCAAAACTCTACACCTTGTTTATGGCTATGTATGACAAATTCTTGGTGCCCTTTTTTCCCCAGTTATGGTGAGTAATGCTGTCTTTACAAGTGATTTAGATAGAAGTTAGTGGATTTTTAAGACAGTTGCAAATATACTGGGTTGATGCACACACATGGATATATGTATATGTGTGTGTGTGTGTGTATATATATATATATACATACATACACATACATACATACATATACATATATCACATGAAGACTCTCACTGGTATGTTTTTCCTTTTTCACATATTTCCTCTAGCAAAAATTAGCATGGATAATGATTTTGTGATAGGAAACAAAACTAAAAAAAAATCAAACCAGTAAGAATGAAGTGGTATGCTGAGTCTAATAAAATAAGTCAATACACATTTATGTAGTGGTAAAGTGCTAGAAAGTTCTTTCATTAGTATTTTAAAAAATGATTAGAATAAAAAGAAGTTTGCAGCTTCATTTGATGGTGGTGACCACAGGCACCATAGCTATGGCACTGGCTGAGCTGGAGTTGACTATGTCCTCATATTCAGGGGGTGGATCTAAATGAGGTTCTGTTTCACTCCTCCGCAGGTTCACCTGGCCAGTGGCTTCCTCATAGGTTGGTGGGGGATCACAATTGGACAGGCGAGTGGAGACAGAATCTGAGCGCCCAACTACATATTCCAGAAAGCCTGGAGACAACCCAGTGCTCTCGAACACTTCATCTGGTGGGGGAGGTGGAGTGATGATGTTAAGGTGCTGAGGGAAAGGAATGTGGCTTTCAGTCACTGTCTGTCTACGAGTTTTGTTTCTTAGGAAGCATCTCCAGATAAGGAAAATGACAAGGAGGATAATGAAGAGGCCAAAGATTAGTGGAAAGGTAAGATAAAACTGAAACCAGTCACTTCCTCTGTTACTCTCTCCTTGTTGCGCTTTTGTGTAGGTGCTCCAAAACTCCTTCTGAAAATACAAAACAAAAGAAGTCAAAGTCAGTATGAGTGTGATCAAGAGATGGGAGATATCACATGAGCAAATCTCTGGGTTCAATGAATGTCATGAACAAAAGACCAAAACCAGACTTGTTGGTTTGAATAACTCACAGCCTGTATTTTCCATGACAAGAAATTACGAATATAGAAAAACGTTGACTTAGGATGGGGTGATGTCCCAATAAGCCCATCATAAATTGAAAATATCATTAATTTGAAAATTCTTGTAATAAACCTAACCTACCGAACAGCATAGCTTAGGATCACAGCACAATGTAGAGTCCTGGTTGCTTGGCTATTTGCCCTGGATATTGAGGGGCTGACTGGGGGTTAAAGCTCCCTGCTGCTGCCCAGGATGGAGAGAAAGTATTTTACCAAATAGTACCAGCCCAGGAAAATATCAAAATTCAGATTTTGATGTATGATCTTTACAGAATGCCTATCCCTTTCACCATCACAAAGCTGAAAAATTCAAAGTCCACCATCAGTAACTGGGGACCATCTATACTTTATTGTGCTCCACCTGGATCCTCCTTAAAATATTCAGACACCAAGACTCTTTTTCAAAACTTGGAGATATTTGTATTTTCTGCTATGACATTTTAGATTAAAAAAATCAGGAATGAGGATTTTTCTCCTTTTCAGATTATACCAAATAATTTATCATTAAAAATATAAGTTAGGGCTCAGTTGGTAGAGTGTTTGCCTTGCATGCACAGGCCTTGGGTTCAATCCCCAGCACCACAAAAAAAAAAAAGTCACTGTCCATATCCAACTTGAGGTCCTCATCACATGATCTCCATCATCATTAATAGTGTGTGTTTAGGCAAGCACTCTACTACTCCATCCCCAGCCTTTGCCTCTATTTTTCCATGCTTAATCATAGTCAATAAGTACTTTTCTTACCATCTGTTATTTATTTGCAGGTGCAACAGGTCACTAATATTATTTAAATCTTTTTGTATCAATGGAGGAACCCTTGGAATCCAACTTGGGAAAAAAAAAAAGGAATTGTAGAAGGGATTTTGATCATTACCCAAATGGGAAAATTGAGGGAGTTTGACTACATCAGAGATTCTAAACTCAGTTGTTCCATGGGTACAGTAGTGATGCAAAGTCATAGTATTCTACCGTGCAACTAGATCTTCTCTGAGGGGCATTATTACTACAACATTTTGTGATTCTAAGATGCATTGGGATATGTTTTGAGAAATATTGTGTGATTTATAAGAGGCTTGTGCATATTTCAAAAGATATACTTAAAAATATACAAGGTTCAATATTAAAATAAGCTCCAAATAGAAAAAGTATACCCTGTGTACTTTTCAATTTCTAAAGATGATTAAAGATGTACAAACAGTTTCTAAAGATGATTCCAAAAACTTGAAATTGTCAAATGACTCATTTACTTTATTACTATTAACAATATAAACACAGGTGAAAACTTGTGAAATATAGATGGATGAAGACATAGATATATATTTAGTCATTCCAGAGTTAGAATCCAGGGTCTTGTGCATGCTGGGCAAGTACTCTACAACAAGCTACATTCCCAGCATAAGCTTCTTTTAAATAAGCGTACTTTAAAAATTCTTCATTAATTCTTTTTATAATTGTCATCCTAATGATGGAAAATTTAAATTTTGTACAATAATGTTTAAAATGTAAAAAATAAATTAATCATACAAAATTTCATTAATGCAGAAAAAGATAAAACAGAAAGCAAATCACTTGTAATTTCATCACAAAGATATAATGTACTATGGACATTTTGGTTTACATAATTAGAAAAGTATTTTCATCTGCTCTTTCTCCCATGCTTTTATCAATCATGGTTGCCTCCCTACACAAGTATCCACTCTTTACAAATTTGGAATCAAATTGCAATAAGTGGAATAAAAAATATTAATCAGCTATTTCTAGAGACCTATCAAGTATCTTATACAGGCTCAATTTTCCTTTACCTACAGGTGAAATTTTACCCTCTCTCTTAGTCTCTCAGACCACCACATCCTTTGCTTCCATTTCATCTTATCTATGAATGCAAATAAATGTGATATCAAATAATTATATAATGTTAACCCTAAATAGGCAATAAAAGTGGTCATTTCATATTATTCACATTGCTTTAGAATAACAAGCACTAATAATGCACATGAAAATGAGTCTTTTTTGCATGTCTGGATAGCATAATTCAGTTTGTCTGGTTTCTTTGGTAAGACAGGATATCAAAAATCTATAAGCTATTTTTCTGTTTCCTTTCGAAAAAATTAAGGAAAAATACATTAATTTTGAAGGGACTTATTAAACCCAATTTTTATTTCACATGAAGCCACTCAGCATTTACTACATCAAATAATGCAGTTACTCTTATAATCCCTAATTTGCATGTGAGGAAATGGAGGCCCAAAGAGATTACGTAATAATAAACTCAAGATCATTTAAAATGTAAATTTTGGAGCTGGGGTTTGAGTCCAAGAGGCTTGGCACCACAGCAAACTAAAAAGCAGTCTGTCTTGATGTATAAGGTATTTCAAACCAATTTGGCCACTCTCCTAGAAAATTCAATCTTGCCTTCATGTTTGATGTGTAGTCAAAAGCAAGCCTGCTCATTTTACAGATAAAATATTTCCAATTAAAGTAACAATGATCTGAATAAAAAGCTCCTGACAGATTTATTTCTTTGGGAAATACTTATTTTGTCCTTGAGGTCAGAGGATCAGAAGAAAATTCACTTAAAATCAAGACTAATACTGTAATTGCCATTCAGACAAATAGATTCAGTTCATGTCTCTAAGCTATTTGAGCGGATCTTTATCTCACTGAAAGCAGCCAAAATTTACTTAGAGCAAATAAATTTCAACATTTTAGTAGAACAGTGCTTTAGTAAGAATGAAAACTGATGGTTTATAGTTATGCTTACAGCAGCACAAATTTTGACATAGCCAATGAAGAACTTCTAAAGAATTAAAACATTTTATAGCAATCTACAGTTCCATATCAAATATTTGTTTAATAAAGAAAAAAGTGATTAAAGAGAATCCAAAGTTTTAGAACAGGCTAAAGTTATACAAATGATAGACATGATCTGAAGCTGCCAGAAAGGTCATGTTAGAAATACCCAAGTGCCTGCTCCAAAGTGGGTGGGCAAGGCAAACTTTACTTCTGCCAGAAAGGTGAGCTACAGAACCTGCCTAGCAAGTGCCTGAGCAGGCAGTCCATCTGTTTGTATCTCTCACACAACACTGCCCTTCACCCTGATTGGAGGAGCATGGGGTTACATCTATGTGATTGGCTAATTTTAAAATTGGGGCTGGCAAAGGGAAGCACTACAATTAAAATGGCTATAATTGAATCCAATGAAGGCTGAATACTATATTCTGAAAATGGACCACCAGACTTTCTGTTTCTCTCAATCTGACAATCATTTCAGAAGGAGGAGCCCAAAGAGGCAGACCTTTCATCATGATAGGGGAGTTATAGAACAAAATTCAGTAGATACAAGATTCCATCAAAGACTATCTGCTTCTCTTGTAGAGAATGTGTGCTTTTTTTACTTGCTGCCATTTATGAATAAAATTTGAGAGACTCAAGGCATGAAGGCCTGTTTTCCTAACTGGAAAGAGTAGAGCTGAGCATACTTTTACCATATTTGATTAATCAGCTCAGAACCTGGGAAAGTTGGGAAGTGAGTGATTTCCCTGTGAGTTTGTAGTGCTGAGAAGGGCCCAGCAGATTGACATAGAACACTTTCGTTGACTTCTTTCCTTGAACAATAATGACAGGGAAGGGAAGGGAAGGAACTAGGCTGAGCGCGGTGGCGCTCACCTATAATGCCAGCAGCTCGGGAGGCTGAGACTGGAGGATCGTGAGTTCAAAGCCAGCCTCAGCAACTTAACGAGTTGCAAAGCAACTCAGTGAAACCTTATCTCTTAAAAAAAAATGCAAAAAAAGGACTGGGGATGTGGCTCAGTGGTTGAGTTGCCCCTGAGTTCAATCCCTGTTACCAAAATAAATAAATAAATAAATAAATAAAAGGAGGGGCTAAAAATGAATTCTAACTCCCAAAAGCTGCTTTTGAAAACTATGGATTCCCTTTAATATCTCTTTTCTTCATTAAACAAATAATTTACTTGGTATTTAAAGTTGCTATAAGAATGTTTTAATTATTATAGACTGAAATTAAGAGCTCCAGTGAAATTGACGACAACTTCCTCAGGCTGACAGTACAAGCTGGAGGGCAGTCCTTGCCCTGGCCTGGGGGACATCAAGGAAACTGAGAGTGCAGATCTACCCTGTCCTAGGGCCTGTCTAGCATAGGCTAACTAAATCTGCATATGTTTATATTCCACCTTTTGTCTTATTTTGCTGCCTTTTCACTTTTAAAAGCTTTCCTTTCCCCAGAGCCTCCTGAAGATGGAAAATTTGAAACCAAAAGTTTCTTCTATCTTCCTTCAAAGCTGGTATTAGTGCCATCTGGTAACACTTTGTTGAGGTCAGAAAGTCAAAAGAACTGCAAGTTGGAAATCCAAGCAAGAAGTCCAAAATTCTTCAAATTCTTTATCAAAAGAATTCTAGGGAAAATGGCTGGACTTACATATAAGTCACCTAACAGGTATATCTAACTTCTGAGAAAATAGAATATTTGTAAATTAATACAAAAAGTAAGGTATTTTCGTGAAAACGGACACTAGGAGGTAGTGAAGTGTCTGGGAAACAGTATCTGCACTGGGTAGGTTATGTGCCAACCCTTTTTTTTTTTAAACTTCTAGTTGAAATACAAACAGCTGGGGGATGAAGAAGAGGGGAAAGGCTGGCTTTGTCTTGTGTAGATTAATTTTGGGGACTTTATTTTTGCAAGGTGGCAGAGTACATAAAGTAAAACGTCTTTAATTTAGATATGATTATTCAGGACACTTGGATGAAACCAATCAAGGTGGTGGATTTGGTAGCTGTCTTGGTATACCAGGCAAAAGGAAGAATGCCAGGTCCCCAAATATCACTAGTGACTAGTATGTAAAGTTGATTGACAAAAATTTATTTGAGGAAAATTAGCAAGGTGAAGGAGCTTATCAATGAGGCTACTGTTTGGGTAAAGTGTGTGTGGGGGGCATATGTCCATGCATGCTATATAAAACAAATGGATGTAAGACTGTACAGAAAACTTCTGAGGAAGGCTACCTATTGTGGCAGGAAGGAAGATACTTGAGAACCTGAGGACAGCCCTAGGCTTCATCATTAATCATTTTATGTTTTATTCTTGAACCTTTTGGATATATTACTTCTTCCAAAACATAAAGAAATTCATTCTTTCAGGGAAGTCAGGGAATGACCAGATGCAACAAAGAGTGAAGCCAGATTTACAGATAGGTAGTTAGTGTAGTTAGGTAAATTGGGTCTGATATTGAGTAAGATAAAGAAAACGGAGACAGGATCTACTTTTGAGTCCTGTAATTCTCTTGGCCTTTCCTCATGGTGACAAGGTGACTTTGTCTGCTCCTGGCATCACAGTCTCATTCCAGCATCCCAAGAAGGATGATTACCAAAAAGATTAAATGCTTGCTTTCCACAAAGATTTGTCTTTAAAAAAAAAAATCAGGGAAGCAAACATTTCTTAAAACCAGATATTTCCATGTATCCTTAGTCCAGAAGTCATATGGCCACCCCAGTGGCAAGAGTGACCAATAGAGTATCTTAAAAAGGGAACCTGACTGCCATGACTAATGTAGACTAATTATGATTTATTAATAAGAACTGGGCATACTGTCACTTCCCCCAAATCAATGTTGTGTTAATAAGGAAGAATAAGTGGAATGGCTGTTATCTAACAATGTCTATCCTACCATACATACTTCCCTTAGCTGGAGATGTAACATTAAATTAGTACAATCCTAAGGAAAATCAATATAGTTCATGCTTTCCTTTTTCCAAAGGATGTCTGAGGTGGGGAAATTGGTGATCAAACTGCAATGAGCATATTATAAGTATAAAGATAGTTGAAAAGATTTGGTAGTTTTGGCTAAATTAAAGGCCTATGAAAAGTTACTATAAAACAGTGTCAGGTATCCAGTGGTACATGCTTATAATCCCAGTGGCTTGGATGCTGAGGCAGGAGGATCACAAGTTTGAAGTCAGCCTCAGCAAACTAGTGAGGTCCTAAGCAATTTAGTGATACCCTGTCTCAAAATAAAAAAATTAAATTAAATTAAAAGGGCTGGGGTTGTAGCTCAGTGGTAAAGCACCTCTGGATTCAATCTGCAGTACCAAAACCAAACAAACAAAAACAAAACCAAAAGTGTCAGCAAACATTTTCTCTTAAGAACTTGACAGTATTTTGGACTTCGTAGAACAAAGTCTCTATCATACATATGAACTCTATGCTGTTGCATGAATTCAGCAATAGGCAAATGGACATGCATCTGTTCTAATGAAACTTTATTTACAAGGCCAGATGGGCTGGATTTGGCTTCTATACCATGTTTTTCCAACTCACGTTTGTGATAAAACAAGTCGGTTTTAAAACCACTTTTGGAACAGAATGATTAAATGTGTGTGTCTATGAAACAAATGGAAACAAAAGAAGGTATCCAAATCTCTTTGGATATTTGTCGGTTCATTAATAGCTGTTGAGATATTCTAAGTGTTTGGTTCAGTATGTGCATGAGGGCAGAGTGGATCAGTTGTTTAAGTTTGAAAAATCAGTATTATTTTTTAGCATCCTAGGTTATCCCAGGGTTGACAGCCAGTCTGCTAAAGAATGCTTCACAAATGTCATTGAGCATACTCATCATTTGAACTTTCTTTGAAGGTAGATTCTGAATCAGTAGGTCTGGGATAGGGCTTGACATTTTGCATTTGTTTAAGCTCTCTGGTGAGGTTCACGCTGTTGGTTCACAGACCATTCTTTGAGCCACATGATACTAGCATGGGTTTTCAATGACTTGAATGCCTTTGTCCATCCCAAAGGCTTATGCATTCGGTCTGGGAGGAGACCAGGCACTGAGATTTTTTCAAAGGTGTTCCAGAAGACTCTATGTGCACCAGAGCTTGGGAACCTTCACGCTAAAGCTCATGGTGCTTTATCAGTTGTAGTTTTCATTAGACACAATATTGCTTCCTTGTTTTCATTCTCTCCCCACCCCTGACCACCCATTTCTCTCCTTTTCAGATCCAAATATCCAAACAAATGGGCAGCAGAGTTAGCACTTCATTCTTCTCCTCTCCATCTGTGCTGAGTGAGGAGGAAGTTCAGAATGGAACTGGTAGGCTCAGGCACCAGGCTTTCGGGAGGAGAAGCACAAATTGTTCTAGAGGTGATTTCACAGGAGGGCAGGTGGAGACAGAACTAGGGTGATAACCATGGAAAACCGCCACAGCAAAACTCACCTAGATTACTGGGCCTGGGTTTGGGGCAGGGTAAAGAGCAAACCACCCTCCTGAGACATTTGGCACCTGATAACCAAAGCAGTCTCTATGGATTTTCCCTTCTCAGTAGGCAGGGTGACATGGTGGATAGAAATGCAAGAGACCCCAGGGATGAGGGATGGATGTGAAATGTCTTCCTTAAAGCATAGACATCACAAAAGAACCTAGAAGTGATGAATTTAAGATGATAGTAGTGAAGCTGATGACAAAGGATGGCTAACATGTACAGTTCTTACACTGTGCCAGACACTCTTTTAAGAGACTTACATACCTTAACACAAAGGGTTGGATGCTTTTATTACCCCTATTTTACATTTGGGGAAATGGAGACACAGATAAGCTAAAGGCCAAGTCCATCTAAGAGGCTGAACAGGGATTTGAACATAAGGAATGTGAGGTTAAGAAACCACTAGAGCAAACTGCCTCTCCAAATTGGAGATATAGGAAGGATCCACAGTGAACAATTTTAAATACTCACCAATAGATGACTGTTTTGCTCTTCCTCATATGTAGGAAAAAATTGTATATTGACATACGCACATATGAGAGACAAAGAGAAGGGACTGAGTTTCTCAAAGCAACCAGAAGAAATACTGTGAGAAGAGGCAGTTAGATTATAGAGAAAGGACATTGAACACTTTCTGAAAACTCAAATAGCCACCATCCTTGTTTTGAAGAAAGTGCTAAAGTATAATCAAGAAATGTGAAAGGTAATTGCTAAATCTGTTCACATTTTACTCACAGTTCAAACCAGTCACTTAGCTATAAAAGACTCCAACTACCCATGTAACTTTGAATACTGCATATGAAATATGTAATTATTCTGTTTTCTTTGTAATCCACAAGTAGAAGAGAAGGCTTCCAGGCCTTCATCCTCAGACTGAATTGCACCCAATGGTCCCTCTTGTTCTGAGGCATGCCAGCTCCTTGGACTGAGTAACTACTTGTTTCTCCAGCTCTCCAGCCAGCAGATGGCCATTGTGAGGCTATCCAGCTTCTGACTGTGTAAGCAAATATAATAAATACCATTTCATGTTTCTGTTCTTCAGGATAACCCTAATACAGTCTCCTAACTGGAATTGAGGCCTTGACCTCAACTTCTCCTGCCCCTGTACATTATTCCAAGCTGCTAGAATCATAAACATACCATTCAGGATGACTTATTCTTTTATGTTCAGTATCAGAGGTATGCCCTACATACTTGGCCTTGTATTTTACAGTCCTTCTATGAGATAATGTAGATATATTTGGTACCACGTCACTTTAATGGAAGAAAGGATACACTTGGGGAAAAAAAAACCCCAGAAGTGCAAGTATTCGAGGGTAATATGTATACCTTTCATTAGTGACCAGAGTAAGTAACCTTGTGTCTATGGGGAAGCCTGGCTAAGGCATAGTCCTTTTATCACTGCGGTCTACTGTGAGCTGGTCAAAGTACTCTGACAATCATCTTTCCAGGGCTCTCATCTTGTTACCCAGACTCAACAAATGTTAAAGATTTACATTCTGGTAAGCTAAGTTTTCAGGTAAAGGTAAAGATTCCTTTATTTCAATATATGCTCAATCCCATTCCCTTCACTTTTCTCCAGAGGCACCAAGTTCTTACACTTTTATCCAGCAGTGAATAACCACAGAGACCCCATGACATCTCCCCACACAGTCCTATTCCTCTTGCACACATTCTTTATAAGGGAAGATTAATTTTGTGTTTTCCAGGGGCTCCTGGTATATCTTTCCTTTTTACCCATGGAGATTCTGAGTAGCCTGTGGATGGGACAAGGGTGGTCAGAAAGAATCCTGGATACACAAGGATCTGCCCTCATTCTGGAAAAGTGAGAGTTTCTCTCTCTCTCTCTCTTCTCTCTCTCATACACACACACACACACACACACACACACACACACACACACCAACTAAACACCTTTATTTCACTAAAAACCAAATAAATAACTTTATTGGAAGTAACAATCAAACGGAAAGGCCCAAACTGAAGGGAACTTGCTGAAAGGGCTATGTGTAGGCACGGCCTGGGGACCCACCCGGGGTGGCGAGGGTGGCATGGGCTGGGCACAGTCCTGCTCAGTCGTCCTTGCAGCTGTGGCCCAGGGTGAGCCTGTCAAAGAGGATCTCGGCCATGGGGTCTTCCAGGGTCTGAATTCTGCGCAGGTTGGTCAGGTAGCCGGCCAGCTCGCGGATGATGAGGACCTGCTGGTGCAGATAGTGGCGCTGCAGGAACTGGCAGAGGTGGGGGTCGCCCCTCTCGGCGGCCAGGTGGTGCAGCTCCAGGAGGCCCTGGTTGAGGCTCTTCTCCAGGTGGAAGGCGCACTCCATGGCCTGGAGGCCGCTGTGCCAGGCGCTGCCCTCGGGCTGCTGGACGTCGTGGAGCCGGACGTGGCCTCCGCGCTGGTTCTGCAGCTCCATCAGCTTCTCGGCGCGGTCCCTCCACTCGTGCGACAGGCGCAGGAAGAAGCTGGCGAAGTGCTCCAGGGCCACTTGTGGGCGGTGGCAGAAGAAGGCCAAGGACAGGTAGACGTAGGAGGCGTGCAG